TTCTAATCATTAAGGCCCTATATTACATCAATTTCAGAAACTGCCGTATGGCCAGTACTGCTGCCCAGTCTTTTGATCTGAGATGTGTTGATTTGGCTGTGAAACCCTAAACCCCTAAACCCTAAACCCTAAACCCCTAAACCCTAAACCCTAAACCCTAAACCCCTAAACCCTAAACCCCTAAACCCTAAACCCGACGGATACTGGAGGCTCCATTGGCCCTTTTTAATGCGAACTTCCCTACACTACGCAAGCGCAGCTCGCCAAACACTCATATCGACCCACAACACTTGGCGGGAAGTCACAGCAAGATTTGCGAGAGATAATCACAAGACTAATCGTGATAATCATAGCCACAATCAGAACAACAATAACCCTAACAAGACAACTAATTGATGATAATAGCAAGCAATACTAGTAAGACGCAGAAGACAAAGCTTTTGGCAATGCTATTTTTGCAACTAGTAATATTCATCAGAACGATTGTAATAACACTGATAGTACTCATAGTAGTAGTAATGAAAATGATAGGAGTCATAATGATGGTAGGCGTGCATCTCCGTGGGCCGGAGCACTTCAATGAAGTTTGGAAAGCAGATCGAAGAGCAGCCTGGCCTGGATTTGATGTCAGTGCTGCCCCAATAGTATGCAGTAGGTAATCCTGCCCTAACAGCCCGTGGATGTCCACGTAGACGCTGCCAGCATCCTCTCTACTTTTGGACGTTCATTGACGTTCATCGCAGGGCTGTGATGTTGCTGAAGCCGTGTATGTGCAGATGCAAGAGCTCCCTTCTCGAACCTACTCTCCCTTCACTTGCCATGTTCAAAACAGAGTGCAGGAGTGAACGATTTCGGGTTGTCGGTTTCAGGATTAGCGCGAAAGCGGGCTTGAGGGTAGACGGTGCAAGAATAGGCCCTGGGCACCCCGGGAGCCCCGAAACAGCTTTTGACATGAGACCGCAGGTATGAGCTGCCGGAGTGGAAAGGCCTGGCACTTGTCGGCAGAAAGCAACCAAACGTTTAGGGTTTAGGGTATAGTCATAAGCTTTTCATGGCCATAACATGACAGTAATGCTGCTACCACTCGTAGTATTGGGGCAACATCTGCCAGAAACATGGACAGACAGCAGCATGCAGCATTCATGTAAGCTAGTCCTTTGCACCATTCTGCTTTTTGGGAGCGGTGGGGTTGAGTGGCATCCTCATAGAAAGTAGCTTCACACCGTAGCACTAGCAGAGGGCAAGAAAGCTTCCAGCCTGACGACACTACTTCCAAAGTCACGAGTGTAAACCCAAACCCCGACTTCCTGAATCCTACACCCCGCAAATCCTACGCCGCTTGTCCCCCATTTTACCCTTGAGCCTCAAACCCTTTATGCCTAGATTCGCTGAGCGGTAGTTCGATCAGCTCCCGAAGCAGAAGCAAAGAAGACGTCCCTGCAGGACACTACCTGCCTTACAAGCAACTCAAGAAGGACCTCTGAGACGGGTTCAAGGCTTATCATTGAATGATTTCTTTGAAAGGATGAATTAAAGTCTTTGAGTGTAAATAAATATGACAGTTTTGAGTCTACTAGGGGGCTGCGCTCCTTTGGGAAATTCACTTCTTGCCTGGCGACTCGCTCCTGAGACGACTCGCCAGGGCTTTTGATTTCAATTCCTCAAAGGCTTTGCCCAAATCTTCATTTATCTGTCACATGTACATGTATGTGTATATATATATATACATGTGTAAACTACTATGACTCTAATGAGACCCTACAGTGTCATGTTTGTTTTTTGTATGTTTGAGTCCAATGTGACCCCAAGTAATTGTTGAACAAAGCGTTTGGGGTGCGGCCAGTCTCGCTACCAGCTTGCACAGCGTTTGCAAGCTATGCCTTCCGGTGGAGAATATATATTCTCAACCAGAAAAGTAAGCCCGGTCTGTGTGTGCGCATGTAAGGCATGCTGCAGTACGCCGGACGAAGGGCAGGGGACGGCAAGCAGCGGGTTGGAATTTAGCGCTTAAGGATTCTTAGCCATGAGGGCTCAGAAATTGAGTGGAGCTTGGGATTTGAGGAGTCCCTCGCAAGATGATCTCAAGAAAAGTGCTCGAGAGTCGGCGAGCTCCTTTGAAACCAGGAGCTGGAGAAGGTGGTCCATCCCAATGGCAACAGCCATGGCAACGATGAGGAGCAACCTGCAGCAAGCAAAGGCTTGGCACCTCGGCTTGGTTGAGGTATGCATTTCGGTTCTAAGCTCCCTGCCTGTTTGGGGGGGCCACATGGGCGGGAACGATGGAGGCCTCCCTATATTTTTCAGTGTATTGTTCAGTCTCACACATGCATGCATGCGGACATACATCCACACATGCAGGCATGCACACATGCGCACATGCGCACGCGCACACACACACACACAAACACACTCACACAAACATACACGTACATGTATAGATATACAGAGAGAGAGAGGGAGACATCACACGAGGTCTTTCAGTGATGCAGTGCTCTTGCACCGACTCTCCACGCTTCCGTGTTTGACTCTGTGGCAGACCTCGTTTCCGGCTATGTGTGTCGGGGGAAATTGACCTGACCTTATAGCACGCAGGCCTGGCCGTGAGGTAGGGGAAGCTCGGGGGATGACGTTTTTCATGTTAGTTGGTGTTACTCCTCTGACCTTGCATCCGTATCTTTTTCCGTGAACCGAGCATCCATATCGTCTCGCAAGCCCCCACAAGGCCCCTAAACAGGTGTGCGCCCTTCGGCGCTGGGTGCCTAACACGCACCCTATGCCTCGGAGAACAGAACAGAACAGAGACATCGCATCATTTATATATATATATATATATATATATTTATTTATTTATTTATTTATTTATTTTTTTATTTACTTGTTTATATGTATGGCAACTTGCAGCCGGCCCGTGACTGAGGCCAGAACCTCGAGCTGGACGGCCAGGCAGAAAGGCAGCCAGGCGGGGCGCTGGCTTGCCTAGACTAATATAAAACCCTAAACCCTAAACCCTAAACCTAGGGGCCTAAGTAATTTCCTATTAATTTTCTGGGTTCCTGGGTTCCTTACTATAGTTATAGTATAATGGACTCGGCCCCTAGGCTAGGTCTTCAGATATGTGACGTCCTTTCCTGCCAAATGAGGTAACAGTGGGATTATTGCCTTGTGCACCGTGATCAACGGCCCCAGTGACAAGCACCAAGCCTAGAAGCCTAAACCCTAATCGGCCTCAACCGACAAGCGCAAGCAACCGCAGGATGTCAACGAATTCACAGACCGCGACTGGATTCAACACGTGCCTTGGCCCGCAGCAGCAACTTGCACAGCCGGCTTGATGTTTGGCAGATGGTATCGAGCATCGTTTTGGTCGTATGCATGTGCCAGATAGTATTGCGGCTGTGTACTATCAAGCGCATACGGCATACGTCAGGCTTTGCGGGTTATCATCGAACTCATATTTTTGCTTGGCTGCTGTTCGGATCATAGATGTTTTGAAGCACCAACTCCTTGACAGACCAGTGGCCAAAGGACAGATGCTCTAAGACTCTGAGCCCTCACCTTCAGCCGATCTCGGCTTTCGCTTTGTCTTTTCAGGGCTTGTGCTGAGGTGGAGAGCGAGGCCAAGCGAATTGGAAACTCGGTGAGACAGTGGCCCATACCTCATGCCTTCATAAAGAAGTCTTTAGCTTGCAGCTCAAGTTCCAATGTCCCAAGAAGACATGTAGCTCTGCCTAAGAGCACGATTTGGCCAAGTCGTATCTTTGGCCACTGATGGTCTTGTCAAACCCACTGGTTGAAAGTCAAGCTTAAAGATAGGTCCTCTTCGTTAGCATGGCTGCTGCTGTTTGGGGGTTGGACGTTTATGCACAGCACATGTTGCGGCCATTGGGTGTGCCCCCGGCAACGATCCTTGCAGTTCTGCAGTCGTTCCTATCTCCGTGGTTGATTGCCACAGCTTGTCAGGAGCTGCCCCATCCTGCATCCCAGCTTTGCTCGTGTTTTCGATAAGAATTTGCTTGTCCGTGGATTCTCTCCATGTAGACAGGGGAGTCAATTTTGGATTCTATTTTCAAGGTGGCCTTCAGGGGTTTCGGTGTTCTGCTGCATAGGGTCTTCTGTTGGGTACGGCCTTTTGTGTCAGAAGGCTTTCTGTTTGACATGGCTTTTTGTCAGACCGAGCTTTCTGTGAGTCAGGGATTTTTTCAGAGCTCTTAAAGAGGCTGTGCTGGGTTTGGCGGTTGGCTGAACGCCGCTGACTTCTTAAACAGTTCTGCTCTGAAGGGACATGTAGGGCATGAGCAGAACAAGCAGGATCTTCAACGTACTAGAGCAGGTCATACAACCTGCGGAATGCTTGCATGAAGTGGGCAGGTAGCAGACCGTTCGAAACCCTCTCAGGAGTGTTCGTCGACCGGGGAATAGATGGCCTCAACCAGCAGCTGGAGGCGAATACTTGCACAGCTGCGTGTCTATGGCCGTGATGCTGTTCATGGTGATGCACACAGTGCAAGTTATTGGCACCCTTAAGACCCGGTATGATGTCTACTGGATGCAGGCACGTCTGGGTTTTCAAGTTCCAGATAGTAGCAGAGATGCAACTGCCCGATAACCACTGGATGCAGGGCGAGCTCAGTAGTGAAAAGGCGCCCGTGCCCCGTGCAAAGCATCGCCACCCTCATGATTCGTGGAGCAGCGCGAACAAGCAGATGTGGTACTGTCTTAGAAGCGCGACAGCATGTATCATGGCCACGGAAAGACAGAAAACCATGTCAACATGCAAACATCACATCTCCAAGCAGGAGCTTGACGGAAAGATGATGAAAGCAGAACAGCCAAACGATAATATCAAGGAGCTCCAGAAGCTCATCAGCGAGAGTGGATTGGCCGTGGTCGACCACTCTGAGGTTCCAAGCTTGCAGTAAGGCCTTAAGGACACTCCGGGCTCTCATCTGGGTTCCTGATAGTGTGAGGATGTAGGCCATGGGTGGTCCAAAACTACAGACATCTTCGAGTCGAGGGATGATGGAACCACGGCAATCAGTAGCAACTCTTGGATTCCACTTCGAACCCGGCGTCGTTCATGTCAAGGCTATCGATTTAGAGCTATGTGTGAGTTTTTTTTGTACCTTCAGTAGTTGAAGTGTGGTGTAGGTTTTAGCGCAGACTGGGGGGGTGTAATTCCACTACTGCTCCTGTTTCCCAGTCCTGGCCTACCAGAAGGCGGTTTCAAGGCGTTCCTCAGACCAACCGAAAACTTCACCTGTTTGTTTACATGGGAGATTCCGAAAATTGGGGGTACCTTATAATAAGGATTCTACTATTTAGGGTACTCTATTAGGGTCCCCTATTTTCGGCAACCCCCGCGGCACGTATTTCTTGCTAAATGCCTTTATTGTTAAATGCCGAAGCCAGGCTCACATTCAGTAGAAAATTTCAACAAAGGCCATCGATGCATATGCCTCGGCTGACGAGGACGCTCATCTTGCATCGCGAAGCTAATAGCAATGCTGCGTTGGTCGGTCGGATTTCGCGAGGTTGGGATCGGCCCTTTGGCCCTGAACGCTTGCCTTGGGCCAGAGTGAGAGTCGAAACAACACCAAACGCAAGCCCTAAACCCAAAACTTGAAACCCTAAATCCCGAACCCATACCCTCAACACTAGAGCTTCAGCGCCTGAGCCTAGAATCGGGGAATCCTGACACCTCTGGGAGTTGTCCAGAGGCCTGCAAAAAGTGTTTCGGGCCAAGGTTAGAGTGTAGATGTCCGGTCCTTTGCAGATTGAGGCTCTGAATAGGGCCAGTTAATTTTTGATCTGCTTTCAGGGTCATCTGCTATGGCATGGGAACTGCGGATGTCAGGGAGTCAGGGGTTCTCATTCTCCCACCAATGCTGTCAAACCTGGATCACAGCCGGGTTCGGGCCGGGTTGGGATAGTAATCAGGAACATACCGCAGAATTTGCACGGCTGATTGTGTGATCATGTGGTGGCTTAGATAAATCCTTACATTCGAAAACGTTGGGCTCTCTGGCCAATGCGAATCTGCAAGGAGTCCAGCCATATGAAGCTCCATGCGCTCCAGGTCGCGGGCGACCGTATCCTTACCAGCAGGTTTTCAGAAAATCAGCGGGGTCTCCGAAACATAGGAGGGAAAGGTACTGTTGGTAGGGATCCTCCTACTCCGGTTACTTATAAACCCTGAACCCCACTCCGGTTCTTTATCAGGACTTGTTTTGGCTTTCTGAAACTCTTGCCGTACTCGGGTGCGACTGCTGAGTCCTTCAGAGAGAGTCGAAGAAGGAAAGCCTCTCCTCCCAAGTCTCAGAAGACCACCAAAGCCCTCAATCAAGGAGCTCTTGCGAAAAGCTTTTTCCTTGGTTCCTCGGTAGTTTAGTGGGCAGTCCGTAATTGACGGCTTTGAGTTTGGTTGCGGTCACCTGAAGGCCTTGGGCAACGTTTCCATCGGCGTGCAGCGACTGCGAGCATTTGCTGAGCTGAACTACGCGGCCCTTTCGTCTGCACACGACCTTTGGGGGAGTTTGCCAGGAATCGCAGAGCCCACATGCCTCCTTTGCCTTGCTCGAAGACAAACCTGCCCGACCGGACAATGTTTGCATGTTTCCATCTTTTGGAGCCATGCATTCCATGTTTCGGATCTTGTGGTGGTGACATGTTCAGCTGCACACTAGGCCAGCAAAAGCCAAGGCTCTCTACAAAATCCTGAAGACGCTGGCCTGGAATCGTTTGCGAGGTTCAAGATTGCGATTCTGGTGCCGGTTCATTCATTGATATTCTGCTGGGCTGGGACACCAGTGTGAGCCGGGAAGGGACAACGCAACTTCAAAGCCACCTTTAGCCTTAGGGGTTGAGTAGGTAACCTTTCACCTTTTGGGGGCTCATATAATCCTACTATAATTAAAAGGTTAACCTTTTTTGGGCAAGGGTACTCAGCCCCTGAGTAGCCGAGAGCCGAGCACGCTACAGCTCTTTTGATCTTGGCATCGTGGCCCTGTTTCGTGGGACGTTGCAGCCTTACCGGTGAAGGGTTTGAGGGTTGTTGTTTGTGGGGTCTCCCCGCTCGATCTTTACGATATCCCCGTGCATGACGGGAACCCATGGGCAACCGCATGCTCTTGCTTGAGGAAGCATGACAAGCTTCTGAAGACGAAGTTCGGCTTGGAGCAGCTCTTCCCGCGTTTGGTCAAGGCAAATTGAAGCCCATCACTTGAGCCCCTGCAGTACGACAGGTCTTAAGGCCTGAGAAGCTGTGGCAATCAGTACAGGACAGGAATGATCACAATATTGCCAACCGTCATCTGGCTATTCGTGTACAGGTTCGCGTCCACCTAGCTGCCATTTTGCCTAGGAATCCCGGGAACGAATACCGGACCTAACTCCCACAAAGTGTATAACATGGCCTGTCAGTTTCGGGAGTTGGGCCACAGACTTATAGGGCTTTTCCGGGCTTGGAGAACAAGCCCGAAGTCGAAACCCCAAAGTAGCTACCCCATCGCCCTATTAAATCACGAAGAGCGTCCGAAAGCTGGGCAGGAGACGAATCTTAGCGAGCATAGCCGCCTGCAAGTGCTGAACGACGAAGTGAAGGAGCTATCCATGAAATGCCTGCGCCTGAGACTGTCTGGTGCTTAGTAGGGAATGGGGGCATGGGTTATAGGGACTACTATAATGGACCTTAAGGGACTATCGTAGGGATCCATTCCCCCATTCCCTACTAAGCACCAGACAGGAGGAGCTTCATGGGATTCAAGGGTTGCCAACTTCATGTTTCAAGCTCCAACCCTAAACCCTAAACCCTAAACCAACCTTAAGATCATTACATTGCAGCTATATATGGGGGTTTCCAAAAATAGGGGACCCTAATATAGTACCCTTAATAATAGGATCCTTATTATAAGGACCCCAAAATAAGGTGCCCCTAATTTTCGGAAAGTCCCATATAAGGCGTAAGCTGAAGCATCATCTCTCGTTTTATGACCATCGCTCAATGGTCCTGTTGCCATGGACCTCCTTACGTCTTCGTTGGCACTTACCCGAGCCCTTGTTCGCGGGAGATGTGCTAGTATAGTTATAGTATAGTTATAGCATAGTTATAGTACATTTATAGTATATTTGCTCTCGAATGTGATAATCGATTACAGACAGAGAACCGCGGTAACAGTCATTGCTCACGCTTGCCGCGACAACTCCTCTGGCCACCCTTGTGAAGCCGACCACAGAAGGCTCTTGGCGACGCGCTCGCAGGTATCAGTCCCCCCTCGGCAACAGAAATCTTGCAAGAGCATTCTCCATCGTACGGTCCACGCTATGGCCTATGGAGTTCGATCAAACATCTGTTTAACCTGCCTGCAAGGAGGGGTTTTGTCGAAAAGTCTTGCCTCTGAGTGGTGTTCGGTGTACGATTGCGGAACACCGGAGCTCGTCCGAAGCTGGGAGGTCTTACCCTCTCCATCGCGAGCGCACACGCCCTCCGATCGCGTATGCTCCTGATTCAGAAAGCACCCCTGAACGGCCAGTACCAGGATCCCAGAAAATAGAGGACTCTAAGATACAGTCTCAACTAGACTCATGTTTAATCAACCGAACTTGTTGAACATGTTTCGGAGACCTCTCCTGCGGAGTGGCCGAAGTAACTCTGCGTGCTTTGAGCTGAGGTTCTCAAACCTCAGCGCCTCGCCTGTACTTTACTTTGGGGGGGGGGGGGGCAAATATTACCCTTACCCTCAAAGGACTCATATGGTAAGGCTTTTGGGCCCAGAGTCCCTATTATATAAGGCTTTTGTGCTATTTTGATGCTAAGGGTTACCGATACTATGTTGGTGGTTCCGTGTTGTCCTCGTATAATATGCTCCAAAAACCCTATTCGCATTATTACGGCCCTAAATCAGGGCTATTTGGGATTCTCTATAGACAGAACTCCCGCTAGAACCTCCCCTAGCCTTACGAGGTTCTAGATGGGGCCTTTAACGGCATCTTCGGTTTTAGTTTAGTTTCAGGACTTATTGATTTACCGTATGATTTGTTGGAAAGCGGTTGTCAAGGTTCTAGGGTGTTGGGGGGTGGGTGTATTCTGGTATAGTTACATCTAAATCTAAATGGTGTTCTTTTTAAGGGTGCATCATTGTTGTGAGGGATTGTTGGAATTGGGGTGCTGTTTGTTAGTGATTAAGGTTTGGGTTTGGGGTTTAACGATTTGGGTGTCGGGTGTTGCTTGTCCTTGTGTCCCGCATTTTCTGGAACACTTCCATGCATGGGTCACTGGATACTTCTTGAGTGTACTGGGCTTGGGTTTGTCCGAATCATTGGGCTTATTTCCCCTGAAGCCGAATTCTCTAAAATGTTCTAGAGCACTGGCCACCGAAAGCGATGGCCTACAGGATGCGAGTAGGGAAGCAACTACAGAGTGAGCCTTTTCCTGAAATCACTGTCTTGCTTTCTGCCTACTCTGGTTTGGTTGCCGTCACAGCCTTGGCGATGCTTCTGAGATTTTGCGCGGACTTCGTGCCAGGCGCGCATCATACACTTGCCATCTCACAAAGCAGCATGCGGCGCAAGGTTATCCCTCACCCTAGGTTTCTTCACGACCTCCATCCTCTTTGCACCAAGGAATCTCCTGAAGTTGCGTGCCTGATCCATGGCTTGGGTCGCACGGGCCGGGACATGACCTTGGCTGGGCCCTTAAGGCCTTCCGTGTCCGTGAACCGGAGCCTCAGAGACCCAGATATGGCCCAAGTTATTACTTAAGAGAGCACTGCGCCTAAGTATAGAAGTTTTGAAGCCCTTATAAGTGATACAGTTTACAAAAAGATATGCTGTAACGATAAGGAATAGACTCAGAGTTCCCATGCTTTGCAGAGGAATGCAGCCACTTGACCTCGCGGAAGCCTGAACCCAAAAGCAATGGATAAGCCGCACCCAGCAGCAGCAGGAGGAGTAGCAGCAGTTGTGGTAGTACGACGTAGAAGAAGAAGTAGTAGCAGTAGTCGTCGTCGTCGTCGTAGCAGTCGTATAGTAGTGGTAGTGAATTGCACACTTCGCACCGATCCAAAGTGTTCGGCGAGGGAGGACCGGCGCATTTACATCCGGACGACTTCGTCCCTTGGTGAAGCCCTCATACTAATGTCACATGGTTAAAAATCATCTGCACCCAGATCAGGAGCAGCAGCACGAGCAGCCCCCCTAAGATTGGCCTCGCGCGAGGCTTCATCTCGTACCTTTAAACCCTAGACCCAACTCCTCCCGTTCAAGTTCCGACTCGTGTTGGCGAGACGATCTAGGGGCAACAGCATCTCCGGGTATGCAAATTACCACATGTGCCCAGAACAACCACTCCCTGAACCCGAAACCGCGTTCTCCGCTCCTCAGATTTGGCACGTGGGTTCTCTGATCAGCTACAGCTGAGGTCAACCCAATCTCGCACCGAAGTGGCTTGGCCTGTCGTCCGTCGTCGTCCTAGTAGCAGCAGGAAGTCAATACCAGGACAACACAGTGAAATGGAGAAATCAATCACGACTTCTCCTAGCCCCACCCCAAACACGCCTACTGCAAGAATGATCTGAAAGAGCCCTGAGAGTTCATGTCAAAGAGCTCATGGAGGAGGCCACAAACACTGCTCAGAGAGTTGTACGCGCTTATGGTTCTGGTTCAGGTGGTTAAGGCCAAAGGATGCACGAAACCACCCGGATGCACGAAGCTTCGACAGATCTGGCCTCTACAGCTGTACCCTCTCTAACCCTCACGCCCTGGGTGTGTTCAGGTGAGCTGGTTTTAAGCTTTTTCCTCGGAAGCTCCTTGGCCTTGTTCTTGGCCATCGGCGTGCTGCTGGCCCTACCTGAAAAGAGCCCGGCAGCCCAGTGATTTGTTCGGCGCACGTAGACTAAACATGCCAGCCTGCTTTGGTCTCAGTGTGCAGCTTCTCGATAATTCGCCCAGAAGAGAAGCCGCGTCTGACATGCGATAAGGATGCAGCAACTTCAACATTTCATCTTCAGTGTCCTCTGTTGAATTGGAAGGAAGTTGACCCGGGGCATGTGCTCTCAACACCGAGAGCGAATTCAAACGCTCTTTGCTTCCGGTCGCACCGTGGAAGGTTGGAGATCATGGCTTAAGGAGAGGTTTCTTCGTGCAAGAGTCTTGATAACCGAAGTCGATTGTGCCAGGTGCAGCCTGAACATTCACGAAGCAAGCATGAATTTGTTCTTCAGCACCATAGACATAGTCTTGACAGATGCGTTTTTGGCAATCCCTAGACGAGGCTCCCACAACCGCAATGGAGCGAAGGCAGACAAGAGCTTTCGACAGGTGCTTCAGTGCAGACAGCTGGGCTCAGCAACTTCACAAGCCTTTGAACCAGGTCCCGCGTAACCACTGCCAAATAATACCTGGTGACTTTCTGAGAAATCAGTGGGTCTACTACTGTGGGCGAGGCTTATTCCGAGATAGGGAGTCGGCGTTGTTCGGACATCAAGTCAAGGTTCTGGGCCGAGTTGAGTCCAAAGGCCAAGTCCTGATTAAGTTGCAGCACAAATCCGGTGAGAGATTCGCGGCACGTCATACTAGTCTATGTGTCGACCAACCACGGCACTGCAGTGGGTACTTCTTGAACCAAAAAGTGTACTACACTGGGTCAAAAGTGGCGAAGCGGCATTCTCCACCTACGGCTTACTTCGGGCAAGCAGCCGTGATCACGAGCTTTGCCACCGAGTCGAACTATGCATGGCTCCGTTTGGATGATGGCTGCTGTTTGAAGACAAGCAGCTTCGGGCTGTCTATTCCCAGGGTATCCGGTGATCGTTTCAGCATCGGGAGCGAAGTTTGGTACGTTGGCACGAATGTATCCCTTGTCGGCAGGAAAGCAACCATCAAAGCCGTTCTGCCTGACGTAGCTGATGGCCTTCTAGTTCAATTTCGCGATGGCACAGTTCATTCAACTACGGGGTCTAAGCTGACGGCACGCAAGCCACAGCAGCCAGCGGCTTGCCCATCGACACAACTGAACTTCCAGCCTCAGGCGAGGAAGAAAGTTCACTTCCGGCGGCACCTTTCCCTGCATATGTTCAGTGTATCCAGTGTAGCTATAAGTGATGAAGTTGAAATTGGCCGTCTCTCGCTCGAAGAAATCTTCTATTCCCAGGATTCTATCAAGCGCCGGTTTCAGGATGGCCGCTCCTTGGACTTGATGAAGCGGGAGCTCGTGGGAGGGGCGAAGGACCTGTCGCAAATACCTCGAATCACCGTGGTGCGCCATGAAGGAAGATGTTTCTCAGTCGACAACCGCCGCCTGTGGGTCTTCAAGCATGTCTTTCCTGGAACGAAGCAGATACCGGTTAAATGGGGAATGCAGGACCACCAGTTTTGGAGCAAGTTCACCACCAAGAATCGTGGCGTCGATGTACGTGTGAGAGGTGAGCGGTGAGATGTGCCAGGATTACAACGATTGTTTCCGGTGCTCTTTTCCCCTGTCATTTCGTCTGCCTGAGCCGAGGGGTGGTGCAGCCGCACCGTCCATCTCACTCCGCCCCCCAGCCAAACAGAACACCTTAAGAAGCAAACCCGAACCCTCAACCATGAAAGCAACCCCACAGCACTTGACAGCACCCTGACAAAGGGGCATGGCAAGCATCAGCAGTGGGTCGTTCCTGCCAAGTAGGAGGCCAACAAGACTGCGCCCAAATCCAAAAACTTCCGGCCCTGCCAGAGCCCCTACAGCCTGCACCCGTTTTTCATTTGGGTGGAGAGCTCAGCTCTCCCCTCAAGCTTCTCACGGGTGCAGGCCTGATGCTCCAAGTGTGCTGATGGTTGGATGAATTTTTCATTAGGATCTTGTCGTATAGGAGTTTTACATGACGCAAATCTGCCCCGCTCTGGCCAAAAGTGCATTCGTCGTGTCCCAGTTGTGCTGAAAGCCTGCACCCAAAGCCCGTGGGAGCCCTGCACCCCCTAAACCCTAAACCCTAGACTCCTAAACCCTAAACCCCAGAATCCGAAGCCAAGCTGCAGGCCCGAAGACCTTCTCGGAGGCCATGGGTCTACCAAGGTTCTATGAACATAATATGGGGGGTTCCGAAACTAAGGGGTACCTTGTTGTAAGGTCCTCCACCTACTATTTAGGGTACTATATTAGGGTCCCCTATATTCGGAAACCCCCAAAAAGTATAGCGTGGTGCAGCATAGCAAAGTATATCGTGTAGTAGAGTCTCGTATAGTCAGTATCGTACAGTAGATGGCTTCAGACATTTAAAACGGTATTGAGATGATCGTAATATCAGACGATGGCTTCAGAAAGTCTATTCCGGGGTTCTGAGGGCTTAGAGCGTGGGGTTGATGGATCTCAGAATATGGGGGGTTTCCGAAAATATGGGACCCTAATATAGGACCCTAAATAGTAGGATCCTTATTATAAGGACCCCAAAATAAGGTACCCCTAATTTTCGGAAAGTCCCATATGTATGAAGTGCGCTTTTGCGAGGTTGTAACATTCTCAGAGCTACTAGTAGTTATCTGACTACGACGAGCCCATCTTCCAGCTCAGGTGTGTGTATATGGCTCCTTGGGCATATTGGTGATTATTAGGTTATACCAGCAATGAGAAAGCTGCCGCCACATAACATATGTGAGTGTTTCGCTGCATGCGCCATTGTTTCTGGTTGGGCCTGGCCGATGGTCACGATGCTTGTCGAGTTCATGGCAGTCCCCAGTTCACTCCAATAGCTCAGGACGTGACTACCCATAAGCCCCATAGTAGTTCCTTTTTGGGGTTCATATTTAGAATCCTATAAGGTCATCCCCAAAAGGAACTAGCATGGGGCCTATGGGTACTTATGTAGTTCAACAGCACGGCATTCCTATGTTATCATCGGAGGGATAGACCAAATCCAAGTGTGTGTGATCCTGCAATTGGATCATAGAATCGTAGATAGGCCTGAAGGCTCGAGTGAGCTCTGCATCCCGCCAGGCGTATTTCTTGACGCCCATCCCAGTCTTCCGGGTTGCGGCCAAGCTGAGATAGGAAGGGACTGGGCCCAGGGAGGTTGCAACAACACATGTCCGCACACTTCAGAATCTCGGTACACTGTCATGAGTTTCTTCGCATGAGCAAAGAAGGACCTGTTCAGGAAGCTCGATGCAAGGTGCCGGGAAGGGACGAATTTGGGTGTCTTGCCTAAACCGCAAACCGATCCTGTGGTATTCTGGAGCAAGGTGTTTTCCTACCTCTTGATCCTGTGGTGCATGGGTGCTGTGGCGAAGATTTGCGACCAGCGACTCGGATCTGACTCTGTGCTCGCAGCGCGTTGTCTTGTAGGTGAGATGTCTACCGGTTTGGGGGGCAGCAGGGCTTTGAGCTACAATGAATGAGGGTTCATGAGGGTTCATGCCGAGGCCCAAAGAGGGTGGGATTTCTGGTGTCACAAGGGCTCTGCTTAATTAGGTGGGATGTCAACCATCTCTTCATCCTGAACGTGGATCCCCGCTGCCGGGTTACTCCGGAGTTCTTCTTCGCTCGCGCAGCCACGCTGACGACGATTTGGATTTTGATTTTCGGATCCTTGGCAAGCAGTACCCATAGGCCCCACAGTAGTTCCTTTTTGGGGTTCATATATAGAATGCTATAAGGTAACCCCGAAAAGGAAATACAGGGGCCTATGGGGGTAGTCTCAATGACAGTCTTGCGGAAACGGGGTGGGCTAGGTCTTTCCACGCCCGGTGGCTCTCCACGGTGACTAGGGGGAGGGGCTTCAACTTAGCTGGAAGGTTCACCTTGATGGCAAGTGGGACTTTCCGAAAAGTGGGGTACCTTATTTTGGGGTCCTTATAATAAGGATCCTATTGTTTAGGGTGCTATATTAGGGTCCCCTATTTTCGGAAACCCCCAAGTGGCAAAGACTCAAGGAATGTATGTCGTGGACTACAAGTGGAAAGTTCTGCCGACTGTTTGGGCCAGCGATGGCTTCAACAAGCGATCTTCCTTCCACTTCGCCGCTGGGTTCACAATTTTGATGCTGTGCCGGATGGGGTTGATCGCTGTGGTACATTATCCCTAAACCCTAAACCCTAAACCGATTCGTAAAGCCCCAACGTTACCGAAGCTGTGGTCGAACCAAGGTGTTTTATCCACTGATTCTGCTGCTGCTCACAGTAATCGGCACTTTGGCGCCCTCTACGATCTGCCGGAATCGGTGTCACGGCTGCTTTGGACTTGTGGAAAAAGTCGTTGGGCTAAGCTAGCTACCCATCATCTTCGAGCTTTTTGGCTCCCGTACACACATCTGGTTGATGGCCCACCGCATGGGAAAGGACCCTGAAGAACCAAGAACAGCATCCGTTTTATATGCAGCTGCACGATAGCATACTCCCACAAGCCCGTTCTGAAGGTTCAGGCCTTTTCTGCAGGATTTAGATTCTGTAACTTCGCGATGGCCGCTTACGTGTTCTCACCTGACACCCCCCGAACCCCGACCCTTACAAAGTGATCAAAAACCACAACCAGACCCACCAAAACGATAAATTCTGGGCCATGCTAAGGCCCCATCCCTTTGACACACAAACACACACAGACACACACGAAGAACCCCATAGCCATGCCCTGTGTCAGGTACAAGGTCTCCGTGCTACAATCGGAAGCTCGGACGACAACAGACTAGTTCTGGAGAGCCACACATATTTTTTGGGGGGGTATGATGGCTGGGTTCCGCAAGAGTGTTTTATGAAGGTTCCAGGACCCGCGGCAGTAAGAGTGGGAGCTTCGGAGAGGCAGGCTGCGACCTTGAACTTGAAGATGAAAGTTTCTATGGCAGCGGAACCCCTCAGCAATGTAGGAATGTATGGACGATTGCCGGCACATGCTGCTCGTGTCAACTGTGGCAATGTGTCAGCTGCTTGATTCCTGGTCTAGCCGGGGGCCACATCCAATTGAGGCAGCGTTGCCTGGCCTTCCACACTCATGTCACGACACCTACCATCCAAGGTCAGACGAACTTGCTTAGCCCCAGTGTATTCTGTTGACTTTGCGGACAACATGGTCGGCGATGTCTTGTCACTTGCTCGGAATGGCAACCATCCCCCACCAGCCCTCCGAACTTTTTGCTCAGCTTTTGATGAAGACAGGTTCAAGGACCCACCACAGCCCTTCCAGGAATTTCTTGCAGACTTGTGGAACACGGCACCCACGACTGCTTGCGAAACACTGGCGTGGAGCCCAACAGAATATTAGATCGAGGCATGATTGAGTTAAAGCCTTGATATGTCAGACTCCTTCAGGGCCAACGCCGTCGGATTCTGAACCAAGCCTAGATGCAGAAAACTGCTTCGTAGAGAGCGCACTCCGCGTCACAAACATCTTCGCAAAGGACCAGCATCGCCAAGCCGATCGAGGCGGCTCTGCACAATATTCAACTCCGAGATACCAGCCGACCTAATGGGTAGATGTGCATGCGATCCCTTGGGGCAGCAGCTGCATTATCTTTACCGTGCGTGTTCCCCGAAATCTGGCACCGGCAACCTCAGCAGTTTGTGGTTCACTGCTTTGCCCGACGTAGACGTAGACGTCATGATTGCGCAATACTAAAATTACAGTCGTTTGTTGGTTGTAATGTCCGTGTTGTTAATGTTGGTTCGCTGAAGATCACCCTATGCTAAGCCCAGTTCAGTAATCGGGAATCCCGAGCGTCGACATCAAAACCTTAAATCCGTATTAAGATAGATCCTTAACTTAAGCCGTTCTTGCTAACCAGTGCTGGATCTGACCGGCTCCTTGCTGGTTACAGTAGCCTGGTTTTGAGCTTGCTGCAGGATGTCCCGGCAGCTGTGTGCTACCTGCTCTCGCACCACCCACAGGCAGGTAGGGTGCTCTCTTTTTCTATGGATCTCTTGAGCTTGAGTAAAAGAAGATGCAAATGCGCGATTCGGGCCCCCAGGAGGAAGAGGTCGTCCAGCGCTTCATTCTGATGCTCGGCACAGTCAGCGCATTCTGTGTGCGGTTTGGGCTTAGGGTAGAGGCACCACGAGCCAGCCGTGATACGCGCTCATGAGTTAGGAACCCCAAGAGGACATAAGCATAAGCATTTTATAGGGATATCCCTATACCTTCCTGGGCTTCACTATAAGGGGGTTTATATGGGATATCCCTATCCTAAGTTTTGCTTATGTGTTTTTTTGGGGCCCTGATGAGCTACCCCGCCCAGGAATGGCGACAGCTGCAGCTGCTTGGCCGTAAGCCTTCAGTAGAGCCCGAAAAGCGCATGAGCCTTGTAGTGACTTGCCTGTATGGATAATATGCTATCATACCAAAACCTTGAGATTCCCCAAACCCTGCTAGAGCCTGAAAATCAATCCCTTCATAACCCTGTTCCGAAGATTAAGGCCACTATATAGTCTAACCCATGAGCCCTTTGGCATGTTGTAGGCATCGTGCCGGGGAGCTCCGGATTCCTGTGTAGCCAGGTGTGCAGTCATGGAGGCTCAAAATGCGCATCACGCAAGGGGCGACATAAGACATCAGTGATGGACTTTTGCACCTTCTACCAAGTTGACTATGTGTACCGCCAGCAATTGCAGGCCTCAGAGCAACCAAACATTCGCATCCAAGGTGCAGGAACGCATCGCTGCCTGACTCGAATGGGGCATGACTAGCATTTGCTGTCTGCCAGCAGATCAGAAGGCCTACCAACTCACGTCATCAGCATGCAGCATGTCCATTCGCATAGCCGGCCTGTAACATGCCACAGTCTCTTTGATTAAGCTACCAAGTGATCACCGTCATCACTCCTTACGACTACCAACCAGGAGCTGCAAGAGGCAGCAGTCCGCATCAAAAAGCTACCAACTCACCGTCATCATGCTTTATCACTAACTCCTCGTAAGTCTCAGCCGTTCTGAGCCCATCTGCCCATCGGCACAGCAGGGGCTGCAGCGCGCAACGGTCTACTTCCATGCTGCTTTCGGGTTCGTGTGCAAGAGAAATCAGATGCTGTCCTTCCGAGCTGGTCGTGCCGGATCTGGCGTTGAGGGTAGCTGTGCTTGTGGGCACAGAGTCCGGGTGTCGGATAGCGTTCTCTAAGCTCTGTATAAGTAGGCTTCAGCACTTCAGGCGAAACTCTTAAGTAAAGAAGCCGACCAAGGCTGGGTGGTGCCGTTCCTGGCGGCCTTGCCGTTCTGGTTCCGTGCTCTCCAGTGCTGTCGGCGATGGGTGGATACCAAGGAAGCTATGGGTCGCTCTTACCCTCTATAGCTAGGCCCTTGAGACATCTTTTGAATAAAGTCCCTTATCGGGTCTTACTCTAGGTATAGCATTTGGGACATTTATTTACGACTATTTTTCAAAGGCTTTAAAGGACCAAGCTAGTATAGTGAAGTCGGCACATCTAACAAGAAGCAGACCCCTGAACCTTACCTGCTAAGAAGCCGAGTTAGATGTCGAAGTTGGATGCTTCCCAAAATTGTCAGTCCCTTGTTGAGCTCCCCAAAGAAGTGGTCAAACAAGGGACGTGAAGGCACCCGAATTTAGAGGACCACCCGCGTGCCTCCAAAGACTCTTATCCAGCCAGCTTCTTCAGTGCCGTTATTTGTTATTGCTCTTTAGGGGCGGAGAGCGGGGGCAGGGGAGGGAGTGTGTATGGCCTCACAGGCTGTAACTCCCTGTCTGTGCGGACAGCTAGCACACATTTTGTCTTCTAATAAGAGTCACTCAGAGTCGAGAGTCTGTTGTTTCTGGATATTCGGAGAGCGGACAGCGACAGCCTGTTGTTGGTTGGAAGGAAGTCTTCTTCAGCACGCAGCCATGTTCGATGCTCGATGGCCTTTTCTGGGGTGGCCTGCCCATAAGTCTTGCCCTTGTAAGCCATTTGGCTTCTGAACATCCAAGTCGAACGCCGCGAACTGACTGAACTCAATGGATAGGTAGGGTTTAGGGTCTAGGGTTTAGGGTTTTGGGTTTAGGGTTTAGGGTACGAAGCCTGTTGCAAAAAGGGTTTAGGGTTTAGGGTAAGGCCCCGGGATTGCCCGAGGAGTGGCGAGCACCGAAACCGCCGAAACCTTTATCCTAGACCCGAAAGCCTGCATTTCCCTTGCTCCACAGGAGCAAAGACACCTGTGGCGACTTCGAAGAAGTTGGCAAGTCGAAGGGTTGAGGATTGGAGTTGGTAGTAGGGTGTTTCGGGATTGTGTGTGTGTGTGTGTTTCCCGTCTTCGTATGCTTTCTGAGCCTACCACAGTGTTCCAGGCAAAGGGGCTATCCGGAATTGACCAACCTGGATCTAAGATGAACAGATGGTGGACTGAAGCTTTGCTCATCGCAGATTCTTGGATGGCTCAGGTATCTGCGTTGCCAAACTTTCTGCTTGTTCGCCTGCTTGTGTTTATCAATTCCTGTGACTGCTTTTTCTGCTGCCCCTGTCTCGGTTCCTACAACTACTATTTCTAAGGCTAGCATTAGTATTCAAAGTAGCGATACTGTTGTGATTGCTTCTAGTGCCACTGCTGCAGTTGCTGCACCACCCCAACAACATCGACCAATACCACAACGACGACAACGACGACCACAAATCTCACTCTCAGTCACACTCCAAATGCGACGAACACTACCGCGACTCCTACGACTGCCATGGGCTGCTGAGATGAGCTGGAGATACGACAGGGGTAACCCAAATCGAGAAGGAAACGGTCCCCTCACAAGCTCCCACGTCTTAGGAATCTTGGGAAATACCTTTGCAGCCTTATGGTTGTTATCGTCTCGCGCACGGAGAGCACGATGCTGCTGGTTGCTGCCACTCGGCTCCATTGCTACGATGGTTAAAGGCTTTTTTTCGGACTCTTCTGAGCTGCAGGATGTGGTATTGAAGCCGTGGACTTTAGAGCTTACGGCGTGTGGAGGCCTACAGACAGGCCCACCCTTGGGCTCCAGCCTGGGAACAGACCCGAAAAGTAGTTAGTTGTTCGCAGAAATGCCCGAGGGCGCAAGCAGCACTACCCCTGCAACCTATCGAGAACGGTTTGTCCAGGACCCGGTTAATCCGGAGCCCTTATACACCTGTCTACCGAAATCATCTTGAAATCCTGAGGTCTCCACGACAGCCACATTGTATGCCTTCTTTTGGGACGTGCCGCGGCAGCAGGCCGAACGAGCGACGCCCCATCCAAAGTCGAAGAGCATTGCTAGCAGGGATGAAGGGTCCCAAACGTAATGAGTGGTAAGGAAAACGAAGAGGGAGTAAGAGCTCAGAATCCTCCTTGCAGCTGCACAGACGCCCTCAAAACTGAAGCATGGTATCTTTATGTTGTTGCGGCCCTTTGCACCTGAAAAGGAGCCGACATTACCAATCGAACGTTCGAAGCATCAGGTGTGTTCTCAACAGGCCCCCCCCCATTTCGAGAACTTCAAAGCCGTCGAGTAGAGGAATGTTTGATGTGTTTCTGAGGATGTTTAAGGTCTGGCTTGCGGTGTAACGGCTTCCAGGGGGGGGGGGGGGGGGGGCTCTGGACAAGCTCCTGTCCCCCAAACACTGGATCACTAAGGTTGGCCTCGACTGGGGTCTCAGCTACAAGGAGTCACTTGGTCAGCTGCCAATGTACGATATCAGCATTTAGGGTTTCGGGGGTTGGAAAACCGGAACCCTGATTTTGCGACCGTTTATCAAAGAACAGAAGAGAAGAGCAATCGAGCAGTAACCAGAGCTGCCGTGAACGTCGTCGCTGTCGTTGTTGAATCACCGAGTTGCATTTGTCACTGACACGATTTCACTGCAGCAATACATAGTTATGTTAGAAGCAATACAGAGTGCGGAACACACCACATGTCATGAAACATATGTAAAGTATTCAAGCTTCTATCGAGCTCGCTATGCCCACACACGAGGCTTTGGCTCAGGTCCGACTTGACTGGCCGACAATTACCGGTCAAGGCAGGGGAGGAGAGTGGCTATGAACAACAAGACCGAACAACCTCCGAGGGAGCTTTAACCGAGGATTGACTCCGCCTGGTAGATAGGTGTTTGTAACTCCCCCGTTCACTCTGTGTCTCAATCAACCGAAGATGACTCCCTAAAGCTTCGACAGGGATCCGGATGCAGGCACTGTTTTGGAACCCTCGGCTTGCCGTAGGAATACTCTCCTCGCCAGGCCTACTGGCTTTGCAGCTTGTTGGACATCTTCGCCAGATCCACCTGGGCCGGGTTCCCGGTGCGGGATCCATGCCGAAGCCACCATGGCCCCCATAAATTGAAGATCGGTGAGGGTGGTGCTGATTTATGACAAAAGCTCAAGAACCCTATGACTCCAATGTCCCATGGTCAACGATCCCGACCATGATTTAAGGAGGATTCCTTAATCAGGGGGTGTCGGAGTGATCTATGTAATATACTACTGCATCCCTCAGTTTGCATCATGCTGGAACTCCGCTCCACTCTGTGGCATAACCACAGCCACCAAGGTTTAAGATTTCAAGTTCTTGCGTTTTCTCGGGTTTCTACACAATAGGAAGAAGGTGACGTAGGGAAAATCGCCCCTCCCTCGCCACTTGTAAGCAAACTTAGTCTTCCGACAGCAAAGCTTCGCAACGAGGTGTTCACGCTGATGCCCACGAGCGTAGTCACTGGCTCTTCGGCTAACAAAGCCGTGTCGTAGGGTTGGGGTTGATTCTGGTTCAAGCTGGGCTCAGAAAGCTATCATGACACCTTGATGAGGAGCGCACAACGAGCTTGAAGAGGCTAATTCTGCATGACTCGCTTTCTTGCACTACCGCAACCAACGCAAGACTGAATGCCACATGGCTAATAAGGGCAGACTGCCTGAAGAACAAGAGACAAGACCATAGAGGAACGCATGATGGCTTTAAAGTGGGTGTCGAAAATGGGTTAATCAAGCCGAGTGACATAAAGGGGCATACCCCATCGGAAAGCAGTCCTTTGAACAGTTCTGTCCGAGCCTTGCAAAGATTGCACACCTTGCAGACATTGCCCTCAGCCCAAGCTTCTCCTGGAACCAGACAAGGTAATATCGTGGTTCGTGTGATCCTTGTCTCTGTGATGTCGTCGATTGAGATTATCCGACGGAGCATGTGGGCAGTGCTGCGTGACTTGCCGATAATTAGATTTGCTTGTTTGTCGAGGAGTCGAGGATGCGTTTCTCATGTCGCAGAACCGCAAACCCTGAACCTCCTGCCCAAACACGAACCCTGCAATGCGGCTCTTGGGAAGCCACTCAAAAATAGAATGTGGCGAAC